TAATATAGTGCTGAGGAGTAGAGCTGGGACTTCGGCTCAAGTAATTTGCCTCCAAATCCCCTCCCCTTTCCAATATGCCATGCTACCTCCATACAAAGAGGAAGAGGCAGGACTATCTACCTAAAGTCACAGAAGCAAAGGGGTGATCTAGGAGGATTCAAGAAGAGAAACAGCACTTGCCTTTTGAACTCGCTCCTCTTAGTTGAGCTGCATGTGATTTTCTCCACATACCCTGTGGAACCACACTCGGGGGTGGTTTTCTGCCAGGAGGAAAGGACCAAAGCACTTGTTAGGAAGGGGCAGCAGGAGAAACAGGAAGGCTGCCATTCAGAATGGGCAGGTGTCCAAGTGCTACGGCTCAGAGCTGGTAGGCAACAGAGAACTAATGAAGAGTTCTCACGGGGGTGATGAGGTGGTGGTTACAGGATGAGAAGTACGTGTTACTAAGAACACTTCAGGGTCAATAGTCTACGAGAGGCAAGGGCAGGTTCCAGAACCTACTAGATTAAAAATGAACAGAACACGGTTATTAGCTGAACGTTGCCATTAACTTGGAAAGAAAAGGGCACATTTTCAGGGGCAAGACCAGTTTAGATTTGGACTCACACTGAGACTGCAAGGAAAAAAGACAAAAAGACAATGCAAAGGCATACTTAGATAGACAGTCCCTGTCTGATTCGATGTAAGAAGAAGGGGAGAGAAAACAGATACTCACAGCCTGGAAATTAGAACATGGAGCACACTCTTCCGCCACCACAAACTCTTCCACCAGCCAGCACGGCAAATTTGAGGTGCTCACTAGAGAGGGAGAGAAATGCAAGCCCCAGACCTCGTTCAGAAAATATTTCTCCCCTAAGTTCTGCACATCAACTTCCCATCACAGCTGAATGCCCTCGCTCCACGTGGTGCCGCCCTTTTCCACCTGATCTCTAGGTATATGGGAGGAGGTCAAAACAAAACAAAACAACTATAGGGGCGTCGGGTTCCCAGACCATCACCCACCTGACAGCTTCTCCTCCCGCACGGGAGCTTCTGCTTGGCTGAAGCGGGTGAGGGGGGGAAATGGGCAAAAGTCAGAAGCCGGAAAACAGGGAACCTCCCCCCCCCCCCCCCCCCCCCCTCCACGGTCCAGGGACACAGGGGGCGGGGACGATCCGATCCTCCCGTCCCCTCCTTTTCCCTGCCCTCAGCCCCTCCTTACCAGAGCCTTAAAGTGAAAGCGCAGAGCAACCAGCAGAGGTGGCGGCCCTGGGGGAGGCCACGCCTCCCCGCGCCCGCTGGCATGGAGTGCTCAGTGTCCCACCTGTCGGGACAGAGGGACCTGCCTGACTGGCCTCCTGCCTCGGTCGGAACGCAGAGACCGCGCTTACACTGCAGTCCTCGGGGAGGTTCCAAGTCAGGGCTGCGAAATGCTGGGGTTGCCTATCAGATCAAAGGCTCTGTCAGTACGCCCCCATGGTCACGGCGAGAAAAGGCAGTACGCATTTTTCGGGTCCATGAGCTTCCTTCTTCGGACTGGTACGGTCCTCACGGAAGGCCGAGGGGGCGTAGAGCCTAGCACCTCCTCCGCTCCGCTTCCGCTCCCGGCGCGGCCATCTTGCGCGCGGAGGATCCTGGGCGCGGGCAGGTTTTCCAGAGCTAGGCCAGTCAGCGGAAGAAGAGGCCCTTGGCTTGCCTGATGGGCCTCGTAGTCTTCCGCTCGCTGCTCCCTGGGAATTGGATCTCCCTGCGTGTGTGCAGCGAGATGCGACCCATTGGCTCGGCGCACCGTTGCATTATGGTCCTGGTAGTCTTTTGCCGGAACCGAGAAGATGGTGGCTGTCAGGCTTGTGGTCCTTCTCGATGCTCCATGGGCTTACGCCTTTTTGCCCCTCTGGGCTACGTGAACAGCGAGACATAAAAAGGAACTATACGTCGCCCTCTCAGGACTTTCCTCCCTCTTTAAAATCCGAGGACTCACCATTAAGCATCAGGCTTTCCGATACCCCGCCCGCTTCCCGCCTCGAACGATGGTCTAGGGGAGAAGCTGGGTTGGCGGTCCAGGGATGGAGGTGAAACTGCACTTCCTCCTCCCTCCAGGGGCAGGAATACCAGAGACTCTCTGTGAATGAAGCCTTCCCTTGTCTCCGGGCTCCCACTCAGCTCTACTCAGATGTCACCTTCTCGCATGTTAATTGCTAAGTTACTCCCCAGAACCGGTCCTTTGAATAACCTCCTTAAATGTTCTCAGCTCTCCCTTGCTCCTACCTAATGCAATCAGAAGAGCGTGAGATTTGAAATCCCAAGAAGCGTTGAGTTTAGGTTCATAGGTTCAAGTGCTTATTAGCTACGTGACTTTAGGACGGTATCTGGCAGTCAATCTTCTGTGGAAAATGGAAATGCTAATGTGCATTTTCTAGGTTTATTTTTTTTTGCGAGATGCAAATGAAATGTGTATGAAAATCCTTTATTCTCTTCTAATTATATTGCCTCACATTTCTATTGTACTTTTTGAATTCAACGTTTAACTCATTTTGATCCTTTTCAGTAATCCTGAGGAATCAGAGTTGATATTATCCCTATTTGATGAATAAGCTCAGAGTGTGTCACTTGTCCAAGGGCACACAGCTAGTAGGAGAGCTGCGACCTAAGCCTAGACTTTCAACCCCCAGGCCACACATTTGTGCCTGCTTTCCCTCCCCATGGAGCCAAACCTTGACATATATCCAGAACTGCAGCGACTTGACCCACATTCTGGGTTCATGCTTTACTGTCTGGTAATGTATTAGTCACTATCCTAATTCTGCCAGAAATTTCCTCCTAGTTTTACATACATGTATGTCTGCAGCCTCTCAGACAACTGGACTATGAGTTTAGTTTTCGTAGTTGCTCAGTAGATAGATAGGAGGTATTTGAAATAAACTTCATATAAATCTAGGCACTATTAATAATCTGTATCCCACTTCTTAAGATCAAAGTACTTATCCCCATGCTTTCTTCTTTTTTTCTTTTTTTAATTTTTTCCCATGCTTTCTTCTTAACTCTGCTCCACACTCTTCTCCCTCAGGAAGTCTTTCTAGCCTAAAGATCACAGCTACTCCCCTACCCCCACAGCCCTAAGAGCTAGCGCACTTTTGGAGATCAACAGTATATCTGGTGCTACATCCCATAAATTCTCTCTTCCCAGCAGACTAAAATCTGGCTGCTCAAGAGCAAGAACTAACAGACTGGAAAGATCACTGGGCGGGAGCTGAAAAAACAGCCACCACCTGGTGAGGGCTAAGCTTTAAGTTTGCTTGTAACTATTTGTTCCTTTAAGTTATTATTTGTCTGTATATTTCAATAGTTGTATGTTATAGAAGGTAGGATATGGGTTTTTTTCCCAGTATTTTTTAGCCATAATAAAAGTTTTGGCTGAAATACTGTATTCTGTTACTCCTTACCCAATCCCACTGTGCCTCATGACAAGCCGGAAGATTTTGTAAGATCTCACTTCCAGTAGCCGTACCAAGCAACTGAATAGGGTCTCCGTGCTGAAACGGGATTTTAAAATATCTGCTCTGGAGTATGACAAAGATGTTGGTCAGTCTTCTTCCTGGGATTCACAAAATGCAAGTCTTTCCTCATCTCTTGAGCAAATTAAACTAGCTGAGCAGTTGACTACAGAGCTCACACATAAGCCACAGGTAAGGATCATCACCCCATCGAAGCTTGGATACATAATACATTTATCAAATTATTTTCCACATTTATCAAATTATTTTCTGAGTCCTTTTCCTGGCACTGTCAGACTTTTTTCTGAGTGTTGTCTTTTACCAACAGAAACAGCAGCACACAAAAAGGCTTTGCTGATAGCTCCAGGGTTGTGCCATCCACTTCCACACTGCAGGCTTGGGGGTTTCTTAAATGCCTTGAACATCATATCCATGAATAAAACTTCTAATGGTACTTTGTCTAAACCAAATCTGACATTTTCATTATCCTGATAAAAGATCAAGTCTGTGAGATAATTTTGCTGTTTAAAAATACTGTGTAGGGGCTTCCCTGGTGGCGCAGTGGTTGGGAGTCTGCCTGCTGATGTGGGGGATGCGGGTTCGTGCCCCGGTCTGGGAAGATCCCACATGCCGCGGAGCGGCTGGGCCCGTGAGCCATGGCCACTGAGCCTGCGCGTCCGGAGCCTGTGCTCCGCAGCGGGAGAGGCCAGAACAGTGAGAGGCCCGCGTACCGCAAAAACAAACAAACAAACAAAAAAAAAAAACCTGTAAGAGTGAAAGGGGTCTACGTATACTTAAGGGAACTCAAGTCTAAGGTTTTGGGGGTTTTTTTGGCCACACCATGCAGCATGCAGGATGTTAGTTCCCTGACCAGGGATCAAACCTGTGCCCCCTGCATTGGGAGTGGTCCCAATGGGAGTGGGAGTCTTAACCACTGTACCACCAGGGAAGTCCCAAGTCTAAGTTTCTTTTTCGTGGTTCTTTTGCATGCCAATAGTTTTGCTTCTTTGTTATTCAGTAGTTATGGGCAGTTTTTGTTAAATTTTACTAGTCCCTTTTCTAGTAAGTACCACCCAGAGGTTATATTAACTTGACCATTGTGCTTGGCACATAGTAGATGCTCAATAAATATTTATGACTAAATGAACCTCTTCTGTGTCTCATTTTCCTCACCTATAAAAGCAGATAATAATGCTTACTAGTTACTTAAAGGGATTCCTGGCAGAATCAAAGATGCTAGCAGAAATCACTGGATAAAAAATACTGGTTCTGCTATTTCCCTGAGGCTAGGGCTGTCACTCCTCTGGGGAGGCCCAAGAAAGAGTCCTGCTCTTTTAGAATCTCCTGGACAAGACTCTGCACACAAGGATCCTCTAAATCCCATGCTGGAAAGAGGATGTCCAGACCTTCAGTTTCAAAGAAACTCTGCTCCTTATTTCCCTCATCAATTAAACAGCTGGGGAAGGGAGAGCTGTAGGATTAGGCATCCCAGGAACTCAGCCAGATTCAAGCAGACCAACAACCTCAGAGAGACAAGAATTAGGTTTATGAGTAGAGAGCAATTCCGACAATGATGAAAGTTACCCAAACCAGGGACATTTGTGCAAATGGTGGCCTTTAATACTGAGAAAGACCATGCAGAGTGACAGGATAGGACCAAACCTTCAGACGGTGGTGCTGAGCCAGCCTCTCATAGGACCCTAAAGCCTGCTCCAGTAACAGAATAAATCAATTATTTATTTACATTTATATTTGCCCTGGAAACCCAGAGAAGGTCTGAGGCTTAGGGCCATCGATCCTTCCTTTCCTCCTCCCTCTCTTCCTACCTCCTTTTCACCTTCTTTCACTTTCTCAATTCTTTCCCTTCTTGCCTCTCCTTCCCTCTCTAGTCTACCTCCTTCTTTTCCTCTTTCCTACTCGCTCCTTCCTTTTTTTCTTCTCCATATTCTCCCCATTCTTCCACCATCTACCCATCTCTATCCCTCCAAGCCCCACGTGCTACTTCTCCCCTGCCCGGCCCCTTAGCCCTGCCTCCCTCAGGTTCAGCCTCCAGGCTTAGGGCGGATAGGCAGAAGGGGAGTCCTCAGCCCAGGGAGCATTTGTTGGTGTTCTTCTTGTCACAAGTTTTCAGGTCAGTGCTGGGGGGCTTGTTGCTGTTTCCCTAGAGGGAGAAGGGTACAGGGGTCAGGGTGAGAATGGCTAGCTGGGGTCTGGGGTCACCCTTGTGGGCAGTCTTAGCACTGCTCTCCTCGTCAGTTTTTACTCCCAACGCGCGCGCGCACACACACACACACACACACACTCACTCACACTCACATGCACAGTTGTACTTAGCCCAGCAGAACCAACTCACTGATCTCCGGCCTCCTGACTTGAGTAAGATGTCCCGGGCCAGGGAACTGAAAGCCTAATGGGGAAAGTAGAGATTGATCAGAACAGGTTGGAGGGGAGGCTAAGTCTATCTTCTAATACCTCGTCTCTTTGAGGGATGAAGGATGCGGTGTGTCTCACCTCATCTACATTCACGCTGGATTTAGCACTTGTCTCGAAAAATCGGATTCCATGCTCCCGAGCCAACTGCACGGAGTGAAGCGGTAAAAAGAGAGTTGGATGAAGGGCAGCAGCTGAGTCCCTGCAATCTGGCCTCATATTGGCCCTCCTGGCCCAGTTCTAGAACATCGCCCAGCCTGCTCTTACCTTATCGGCCTGCTCCTTCTGGACCTTCCTCTTGGCCTCCATATCACACTTGTTCCCCAGTAAGAGGCGCTCTACCCCAGCCGAGGCATTCTGGGACAAGAGGTAAGAGTAAAAGTTGGGTCCTGCTCATTTTCACAGTCTCCTTCATCCTCCAGGTTCTACCCAATTCCCCTGTCTCTCTGGGAGGGTCCTCACCTCTTTGATGCTCTTCATCCAGTTCTGAATATTCTCGAAGGATTTCTCATCTGTGATGTCATATACTAGGATAATGCCCTGGGGAATGGCAGAGTTCACAATGGAGCCTTGTACCATATTCCCCTGTTTAGGCTTCCCACCGCCCTCTAAGTGACCCTGCAAATTCTATCCACAAGTCTAATCACTAGGCCACATGGGGCCTTCTGCAACCCATACTGTGCCCCTCCCCATTTTTCTCTGCCCCAACTCCTGTCCCTCTATATTCATACATTCTAGTGCCTCATGCCTCATCCCTTGTCCAGAACCACACTTCATACCATGGCTCCACGGTAATAGGCAGTAGTTATCGTCTTGAATCGCTCTTGGCCAGCTGTGTCCCTGAAGAGGTGGAATATTTCATGGGGTGGGATACAGGGAAGAGGTCTCCAAAGAGAGACTCCCACCCCCACCCCCTAAGAATTTAGCTTTTGCAACTGAAAGGAACAGAATCAGGAAACAGTAAAGGAAGAAAGGGATAAAAGACAGTTGAGCTGATACTGAGTGATGGTAAAGGCCTAAGAAACAGGTCTTTCTGTTTTATTCATTGTTTACTCTGTGCCAAGCACTGTGTATATATCATTTTATTTGTGTCATTTTATGTAATCTTCACTCTATCCCTGTGAGACATGTTTTATTGTCTCTATTTTACAAATGAGGAAACAGATTTAGAGAGGCCAAATAACTGGTGAAGGTCATTCTGTACCAGAACCAGGATTGAACCACATTCTCCTCTTATCTGTTGTATCATAATGCCTCCATTAAGCCTTTTACCACTTGACACCCTTAGGGTCTCCAGCTTCCTCAGGGCGGTCAGGTCAAACCTCTACACTTGGCTTTATGGCCTCTCCACTAGACTGAGAGTCAAGTCTTAATTCTGCTATTTGCTATTTAACTGTTTAGAGCCTGTTTCCACATTATAGTTCAACAGACAATTGATCTAGCTAGACAGTTGCCAAGTTCAGAGGATGCTCCAGGTCCAGGAGAGGCAAGAGAATTACAAAAAAGCTGAAAATAGTTGAGTAAGCAGGAAGAGAGATGAAAGGACATCTGAATGAGGTGACAGAAATGGATTAGAAAATGTACTGGAAGGAGCATTGGGAAAGGGAGAGAAATGAAGCTAAAAAGAAGAGAAACACCTATAGGAGGTAAATGAGGTAGTCTGGCTTAGGAGTCCTGAGGGATTCACTCACCAGACTTGCAGTTTGATCTTTTTCCCCTCTATATCCACAGTGCGGATCTTGAAATCAATTCCTAGAGGTGGAGAGTGTACACTGAAATTGAGACATGCATATACATGCATGTAAAAGTGTGTGGTGAGAGGGACAGGAATGGAGCAGTGGCAGTGCCAGAAATTCTGCAGGGCAGGCACTTGGGAAGTAATCTTGTAGGAAGTGTAAAACTAGGGGGATTTTCTCAAAGCTGTATTTGTATAGCAAGCATATTGTTTTTACTTAGATTTTACAGGCTTTGTAGGGGAGAAGGTGATGAAAATTCTGCAAGGAGGCTTAAGGCCTCTAAGGCATTTGTATTGGGTCCGCTTAGCCATGCCAGCTGACAACTCTCTCAATTCAATCTGTCTCCCCCAAAATATTACTTTCAGATTCCTTTTTCTTTCTGTTTTCTTAGAACCCTCTACTCTCAGTTCTCCCACCTACCCTCCTGGCCCTACAGGGTAAAGAGCAAGGAAAAAGGTAACTGATGACAGTCTATGTGAATTAACTAGTAGGCCAGGCTTGGAAACAAGAAAATTTGAGGCTAAACAAGATTCCCCCAAGACTGAATTAGGAGAGAGGAGCATTTTTCTCTCCTCTTTCTAACCAGAATGTCTTGATACTCTCCTTGTCTTATTTCCCAGGCCAGAGGAGATTAAGAATGATGAGAGGGGGGCTTCCCTGGTGGCACAGTGATTAAGAATCCACCTGCCAATGCAGGGGACATGGGTTTGAGCCCTGGCCCGGGAAGATCCCCCATGCCGCAGAGCAACAAAGTCCGTGCACCGCAACTACTGAGCCTGTGCTCTAGAGCCCGCGTGCCACAACTACTGAGCCCGAGTGCCACAGCTACTGAAGTCCGCGCACCTAGAGCCCATGCTCTGCAACAGGAGAAGCCACCGCAGTGAGAAGCCTGTGCACCTCAAGGAAGAGTAGCCCTGCTCGCCGCAACTAGAGAAAGGCCGTGCGCAGCAACAAAGACCCAACACAGCCGAAAATAAGTAAATAAAATAAATAAATTTTTTAAAAAAATGATGAGGGGGAGGAGGGGAGACAACGTTCTTAGTGGAAACTTGTGCACCTCCCCCAAGCCTGAGGAGGCTGAGTCACCAGGCTGACTCAGAGACCCCAAAAGTCCCCTCACTCTGGCTTCCTCACCAGGCTGACTGCATATTCCTGATCACAGTCCTTGGGCCACTCTCCAGCATACCCAGCCACTCTGTTCCATCTTCCCCAACCCCTATTAAGTTGAGAGGCAGGGAGACTGCAAAGTAGATGGTAAGGTGGGAATGTAATGGGAGAGTATGCAAACTCAGTGGGACAGAAAGAGGCTGGCAGAATTGGGAGACAGATGTTCAGGGAGAGGGGATACAGGAAATGTGGAGAGTGGATCAAGAGTTCTAGGTGGATGGGGGTGGGGGAAGAGGAGCTGAGAGGGAAATAAAGAAGGGTTCATGTGGTTTTGGGGAGACAAGGGAAACAGGTGGTACCAAGAAAATAAGGGGCTGGCACAACTGAGGAGTAACCTGGAGGTCTCAGAGAGGTTAGAGGTTTGGGTACTATCCGGAGACATGTAAGGGGGATGGGTCTGAGACGGGGTTCAGGGACTGGAGTTCAGAAGCCTGACTCTAAGGGGACTTAAAAGTGGGCCACAAGTAATCCAAGAGCCTGAGGATGAGGGCATGGGGGAGTCGGGGATCTAGGGTATGGCCAGTGGGCTCACCGATGGTGGAGATGTAAGTGTTGTTGAAGTTGTCCTCTGCAAAGCGAATGATCAGACAAGTCTTGCCCACCCCTGAGTCCCCGATCAGCAGCAACTTGAAGAGGTGGTCGTAGGCTTTGGCCATGGCGGACACTGGGGGTGCCGGGAGAGGGGTGGGGAAGCGCTGTGCACGGGTAGGCGGGATTGGAGGGTTGGCAAACAGAGCAGCCCCGGAGCCCAGGCCAGGAAGTTTTCCTCCCTCTCCGCCCAGGCTCCGGGAAAAAGGAGAGGCGGCACTCCTCTGGGCCCCACCCCCTGCCCGCCCACCCCTTTCTGCTGGCCAAGGAGGCCAGCCCAGACTTCGGCTCTCTGGGCTTTCCCTTCCCAGCCAACACTGGCCTGTCTCCCTAGCCATTTCCCATAGCTTTTTGCTTACTATCGTCCCCCTTTAAAAAAAAAAAAAATATATTTATTTATTTACTTATTTTATTTTTGGCTGTGTTGGGTCTTTGTTGCTGCGCGCGGGCTTTCTCTGGTTGCAGCGAGCGGGGGCTACTCTTCGTTGCAGTGCGCGGGCTTCTCATTGCGGTGGCTTCTCTTGTTACAGGCTCTAGGCGCGTGGGCTTCCGTAGTTGTGGCACGCGGGCTCAGGAGTTGTGGCACACGGGCTTAGTTGCTCTGCGGCATGTGGGATCTCCTGGACCAGGGTTCGAACCCGTGTCCCCTTCACTGGCAGATGGATTCTTAACCACTGCGCCACCAGGGAAGCCCCCGTCCCCCCTCTTTTGACTTCACTCTTCCAGTCTGAAGCCAGAGACGCTGGGGTGATGTGAAGTAGAAGTTTAATCAAAATGACCTGGGGAAGAGGAATTTTAGAGGAATTAAGGGAAAGGGAAGTTTGGGGGAATAAGGGTGAAGGCCAGGACAGCACTGGGAGTTGCCAAAAATTGGGGACTGATTTTTGGAGGGGCGACTCAGGGAAAACAGAATCCTTCTGGGGCAGTTCTAGAATTCTGGTGTTAGTGTCCCAAGCCCTTAGTTTTAGAATCCCAATTCCTTTTGAAAAAAGCGGGATGCCTGGAGTTGGTGGCTATTCGTTGAGTCAGTCTGCCCCCTGGTGGAACAGAGTGAAAATTAAAAGTAATTACACTATAGAAATCAGCACATAGACACACACACACACACACACACACACACACACAGAGACACACACACAGACACACACACAGACACACACACACGCAGACTTCACCTAGATACATTCTGGAGCTTCATTTTGAACAGTCTTTCTTCTGGGACCCTGTGTGTGAATTCTCTGACATGCCAGCTCAGGAAGACAGAGATTGGGACTACAAATGTCTGGTCTCGTTCTTTTCATGAGATCTGGATCTTTTAACACAGCCCTGAGACAGTACTCCTGACACCCCACTGAACAGACTGTGAATGTGTAGCCTTGGCAACCAGGAAGCTGAAATATGGAGAACACAGCTATAAAGAAACAAATTTATCTTTGTCTTTGGAAAAAATTACTCAAAATATCTGCTTTTCTAATAGCAGATCAGTAGAATAGTTCCTGTATAAGGATAGCGTACTGGTTGTGAGAAGGCATCTCTTGTCACTTTACTTATCCTCCGTTACCTTGTGTGCCAATGTTCGTCCTTTCTCAAACACAACTATTCAATCCCCTTTTGTCCTTTATCTCACCAGCCATTATGTCTTCAAGCTGTATTACAAACCTTGAGTGTCCTCTATTTCTCGCTGGCCAAACCATCTCTCTCCAGCCCTTTAAATTACTCTTCAATGTTCATGGATTGTTCTGATAAAAATCCATCAATTCTTTTTCATTTCATTTTATTTTGTCTGGATCTGGACTCTTCATACCCAGCAATATATTTTCTTTTTCACCTCTCTAAATTGTACTTATGCTGCTGTATACGTGCTTTCACTGGAGCCTCATCTCCATAGTACTCTCCCCCTAGCTCTCTGAGCTTCTGCAACAATGCCTCCCCCCCCCCCCCCCGCCTCAATTTTGGCAGGTTCATTCGGTCTCTGGTTTTATATTCACAAGCTCTTCCCTCAGCCTAGAATTCTATTCCCCCAAACTGCTGCTTGGTTGATTCCTTGTCTTTCAGATTTCAGCTTAAATGTCACTTCCTCAGAGGTTTTTCTCACCCGTCAGTAGTGTGCTGGAACCAATCCTTAGTGGCTCATGAGAACAGATTGTGCTTATCTCTTTCCAAATCCGTGTTTAATGATATCACATTGATAGTCTGAAATTGGCCACGGTGGGAGTATTTACGCCATTGAAATTAGCAAAGACAACAAATCAGGGCTCCCCTCCCATATAGTCAGGTGTTAAACGTTTACCAGTACAGTCTTGACTAGAACTCACATCCCTTGCCCTATTCCTTTCCTTTGGAATTAAACAGGTCCCCAGATGCCATTTGGGTCATCTTCGCCCCTCCTTTATGACAAATGGACATTCTAACCCTTTGATCATTACTGTAGAAGACCATGATTTGTTCTTCATTTTTTTCTTCTCATTCCCTGTCAAGAGTGTCGATGCTGCCAAGATTAGAAATCTTGGAAAGGCGGTGCTGGTGAAAGTGTGGGGGAAAGGATGTGGGAATGTAAACTGGCACAACCTTTTTGGAAGGCAGTTTAGTAGCATACTTTGGACAATTTGTTTAATGTCTCTGGACATCACTTTCCCCATCTGTAAAATGTGGGTAATAATAGTATCAACCTGATGGAGTTGTTGTGACGATTAATTAACATGTGAAAAGCAGTCAGAACAATGCACAAATAAGTACTACATAAGTGAGTGATGTAATTAGTATTAGAGGGAAAGATGGAAAGGAGAGAATAAAATTTAACAATGGTTAGCCCTAGGAATAGGCTGGAGGTGCGGAAAATATGAGGACTTCCTTTTTTTATGTTTACATTTCTGAATTGTTAAAAATGGGCAAACTAAACCAATTTAAAAATAGTAAAGAAATTTAATAAGTCCCAGACATGGCTCAGTCTCGCTGTTTTCCTAAGCAGTTCCCATTGTTAAAGTGCAGCGCGAAATTTAAAAATTGTCCATTTACCCCTCAATAGAGATCAAACGCTGACCTTAAGAGAACATGCTCTCTCTCTCAACATGGCGACTCATCTATGTTCTGTCATTTAGAGACCTTCCAAAGATGGCAGTCCCCTCCTCGCCCCGCCGCCCACACACCGTGAGAGGACCTTCCCAACATGGCGGCAGAAGGCCCAGGCGTCACTTCCTGCGGGACGGCGGATTTAAGGAGCAGAATTTCCGCTTTCGCTCTTTTCCGACGGTGACGACCTCCCCATGAGAACATGCCTGTGAGTTCCTTGGTGCAGGTTTCCGTGGAGATCTCGCTCTTCTGTCCGCACTCTCCCCTCACGCTGACTTCGGATCGCAGAGGGCTCTCACTTGCTCTCCGCACTTTGCAGAGGCCCGTGCGGCCTCCTGCATAGACAGGAGCGGAAAGGCGATAAGATGGCGGCCCAGCTGCGCAGACAGCAGGGGCGGCGAGGGGCGAGCTCTCCCCGGTGTGTGGCAGTGGGGGCTGTTTTCGATCATCCCGTGTTCGCCGATGGTTTCTAAATCTCTGCATTTCTGCCTCTCTTAGCTCGCAAAGGATCTCCTTCATCCCTCTCCAGAAGAGGAGAAGAGGAAACACAAGAAGAAGCGCCTGGTGCAGAGCCCCAATTCCTATTTCATGGATGTGAAATGCCCAGGTGAGGAGATAACTTGCAGTAGTGGGGAAAGCACTGGACCCCAAGGAAAAAGGTATCCTTGAAACGGTTCTGATTTCTTAAAATTTGACTGTTTGAGATGGGTAAAATTTTGCATTTCAGGAACAGTGATCCATAGTGATCTCCCTTCAAAACTTTATGTGCAGACCGTAACATCTCTTTGTGTTGAGAAACACTGGAATGTTACGTTGGGCTTCTGCTGTGGTCATTTATATACTTGTACCTGGAGACAAGGGAGTGGATACGTTGACCAGTTACTGAGCCTCTTCCCTCACCAAATAGAGGATTGTCTATATTTTAACTCTCGGATAGTTTTTTTGGATGATGGTGGTAACGCATTAACAAAAAAAATCATAGGTGGGGGCAGATAGTCAAGGTTGCTTTTAAGTTGGCTTTAATGTATACCTAGAGCCAAGTAATCGATTTAGAATAGGAAAGTAAATTTCAAGAATTTACATAACATGCTTGTTTTACAGTTAATATATGACAGCATATGTTTAAATGAATAAAGGTTTGGGGAAAATGGGGTAACTCGCTGTTTTTTTCACAGGATGCTATAAAATCACCACCGTCTTTAGCCATGCACAAACAGTAGTTTTGTGTGTTGGCTGCTCTACCGTCCTCTGCCAGCCTACAGGAGGAAAAGCAAGGCTTACAGAAGGTAAATGGTTTAATTAATGTTGTGATTTTGGGGTTTGAATCTTGAGAGAGGTCATGTATAATGTAAATTATCAGGCTGTCTTGCAAAGAGAGTTGGGTTTGATAGTCTTTTTTTTTTTTTCTCTCTCTCCAAAAGCATAATTAGAAAGCACTAATCTCAGTGCTCCTGTCTAAGGCTGGTGTGGATGGGTGATAAAGGGGGCTTCATATGAACTGAAGCAGATGTTGTCTTTAAGTGAGTAGGTAGGAGCTAAAAGAGTTGAGAAAACTACAGATGTAGGTTTCCTGTGGGTATCAGGCATCATTTTGTTTTGTGGGGGTGGGACAGGGTAAGTAGGCTGCTGTCAGTTAACCTTTGGAACTTGTTCTTGCAGGGTGCTCTTTCAGACGGAAGCAGCACTAAAAGCCCCTGGAATCAAGATGAATGGGAAACCATCCGAATAAACACATTTTGGATACGTCCTGTTTATTGTCTTGTTTTACTGCTAGGAAGTTCCTACCTCACGTATTCAGGGGCAATCAGAAGAGTGGACTGTAGAGTCATTTGGGGCAAGTAAGTGGCAAATACTTAAAAAGTCCATTTGGGACATTCCTATCCGTAGGCTCATTGAATAAATCTGCAGAGCTTGGTTAAAAACTGGAATGGTATATAAATGGGGTATTTGCTTTCACTTTTATGTTTTCTTAGAATTAAGAACTGACAGTTGATCTTTAAAACGCGATCCAGCACACCACTTTAACACAAAACAGCCTAGGATCCTTTATTTACAGTTCTCAGAAGGCTTGTTTGGAGGCTTATGAGTGTAGAGGTTGGTGCTAGGCTCCTGGTCTAGGGCTAGAAATTTCCA